GATCTCCCCTCCAGTCAGCAGGTACATTGCAGGGCTAGCGCCTGCATGTGCAGGCAGGGGAGAGGGAGACCGGCGGATTTCTCGGGGGGTGGGGGGGGCAATTGCCCCGTTGCCCCCCCCCGAATCCGCCACTGTAACAGACACACACACACTAACACACACACTAACACACACATGTTTTTTTTTTAAATTGAATCCCCCCAGCCTCCTTACCTTTTGGAGTGCTGGGGGAATTCCCTGGGGTCCAGTGGTGGTGCTGCTGGGCTCCTGGGGCGGCGAACGGGCTGTTTGGGCGGCCGGCGCTCCCTCTTCAGCTCCCTCGTCATCTTCCGGCTCCGGCATCCCTACGCGGCGCGCGAGGGAGCTGAAGAGGGAGCACACAGGGGAGAGTGCTCCCTCGCGCGTTGGCCGCCCAGACAGCCAGCCCGCCCGCCCGCTGGGGTCAGCAGGGCCAGCCTCGGGGGGCCCTGAGGTGGCGGCCTCCTGGGCCCCCCAGGAGAAGAGGCTGGCCCTGTGGGTACATACCGGGTCGCAGGGGCGGCTGGGCCCCCTGGTGGGCCTGGCCCGGTCGCAACCGCGACCCTGGTATGGACGCCACTGATTGATACTGTAGAAAGAGTTCAGAGAAGGGCTACTAAACTGCTTCATGGATTGCAGGATAAAACTTACAAGGAAAGGTTAACCCCTTCGCGACCGATGACAGTTCAGGTCCGACATCGGAAAAATTCCCTTGAGGACCGGGGACGGTTCTTAACTGTCATAACGGTAAAATATACTTACCCAATTGCCGTCGTTCCCCCGGCGGCGATCGTGTTGCTCCTGGTGTAGGGAGACTGCCTGACATCACAGGCAGTCTCCCTGCGGCAAATTAGGATCCACAGAGCAGTCACATGGCCACAATAGCTATCCAAGTGTATGCCTGCAGGGGGACTGGCTATGCTGACAGGCAGTCTCCCTGCATGTGTAAAAAATAAAATAAAAGAATGTTAATTAAAAAATATAACTGTGTGTGTGTGCATGTGCATGCAAAGGCGTGAGCACGGGGTGTGCCTGGGCACACCCTAATCCCCGCGGCACGCGCTATGATACAAAGGGATCAAAGATCTCCCTCGCCGAACTACTAGCAGGCAGGGAGGCAGGCAGGAGAGGACCCGGGGAGCTCTTGCCAGCAGCTCCGCCAGGTTCCTCTCGCGAGGTCGGAGCGTTGACGCAGTTACCGCGGCAATGCTCAGATCTCGTGAGAGTGAACTCTAGCCCCCTGTAGAGCTAGAGTTCACTCACCACTGGACCACCAGGGATGGCAGCAGCACGGTCCCCCCTCCCTACAAAAGGTAAGAAGGGAGGGGGGATATTAACTAAATGGCCCCCCATTACACACATACCGCACCCTCACACATACACACTAACAGCACCCTCACACATACACACTAACAGCGCCCTCACATACACATAGCAGTATATGTGTGTGTGTGTGTGTGTGTGTGTTAGGGTGCACACCCTTATACAATAGACTGTGCACGCCTGTGTGTGTGTATGTATGTATGTATATATTTATTTATAAAATTCAAATAAGTCAATTGAAATAAATTAAAAAATATATATTCTAACTGTATTTTTATATTAATATATATATTTATATCAAAATACACTTAGATGTATATATCATTTCATTCTATGTATATATAAATAATACGAAATATATGTCCATATACAAATTACATAAATATTCACGTAGACGTCAAATATATAAATATGCATATATATTTATGTAATATTTTTACATAATTAAGTCATTTTATTGATTGCAATTTGAGAGACCTGCCTGACAATCCAGGCCGAAAGTCCAATTTAATTTGCTAGCACTGTGTTTAACCCTGTAACTTTCCATGACACCCTAAAACCTGTACATGGGGGGTACTATTTTACTCGGGAGACTTCGCTGAACACAAATATTAGTCTTTCAAAACAATAAAGCATGTCACAGTGATCATATTGTCAGTGACTTTTTTTTTTTTACTTTTTCACACACAAACCACACTTTCACTGAAGATATATTTGTTGTGAAATGTTTTTACTGTTTTTGTTTTGAATATTTTTATTGGTTTCATAACATAAATGCATGACTCAAACTGGTCTGTATTTAAGCACGATTGCCCATGCAGGGGCTTAGGCATTGGTATAGTGTATCAAATGTATTTGCAATATATCTAGTCGTCGCCCTCGCAGGGACTAAAGCATTTGTTTACACAGTATGCGCCTTTGGTTGCCTTCGCAGAGGCAGATTTGTCATAGCCAGTTTAACTTAACCTTTAGGTTCATAGTTGGGTATTTTGCGCTTTACACTTTAATAATCTGTGGTGCCTATTCGTTTTGGTTAGAGCTGTGGGTAAGCAGTTGTGTGCTCCTGCCCTTTGCTTGCTGCTTTGAGCTCTAGTGTGTTGTGTAGCTATTTGCTCGTGTGTTTTGGGGTTGTACGTTTCTTAGCTGTTCCCTCTGCTAGATATGTTAGAGCGGTTTTGCGTTATGTCTGTGCCTCCTCTATTGTATGTGTCTGTGGTTTTACCTGTGTTGTGTTGCTTCTCACCTGAGCTCTGTGTGTCTGCCTCTAGTGTTGCGTCTTTGTGGCTCGTGTTCTGGAATTGTTTTCTGTGTGTACCTTCCATGTGGTCATGGTGTGGTCATGTTTAGGCGGATTCACTTGTGTTGTAGTGTTGCCCTGTGGGGTCTGGGAAGGACCGTGTAGGTCGGTGTTTGGACTGTGGGTGTGTGTGGTGCGTGGGTTGTGAGATTTCACAACTCCTTTCGTTTCCTGCCTGGCTCTGAAAAGCATTGGAGGCGGTTAGTCTAATCCAGTGAAATCAGCGTTTGGTGTAGCGATACCTGAGGTTCGGGGTGGTTGCCTTTTATGGGCGTTCTTCAGGTGTGGGGTAATGTCACGTATTCATCCGCTTATAAAAATGTGGTTAATGACACTTACTGTCCACACAGGAAAAGTTGTGCCGAGCAGCAACCAAATCCACAGGAGAGTTAATGTTGAGCAGCAATTATGCAAATGGAAACCTGGTAACTGCTTTGGGGTCAAAGGCCGGTTACAGCCTATCAGACCTAGAGGAGGGGTATTTAGGCCCAGTTCTCATCTTGCTCAGGGCCTTGTCGTGGTTTCCCTTGTGGTTGTCCGAGAGCGTGTTATTGATTTTGGTATTTCTGGTTATTTGACTTTGGCATTGTTTTTGATTTCCCTGTTTTCTGGCATCCCTGACTCCTGGCTTTTCCTTATCGTTGTGTCTCTTTCTGTTTCCCTTGACCTCGGCTATTCCTGACTATTCTTTGGTACGTTAGTCCGGCCATTCTAAGGTCCGGTATACGTTACCTATCAGTCCTCTGTGTTACACAGTTCTACGTGCAGGGTCATACTGTAATCCTGACAGAGAGATAATTGAGTCAGGAACTGTACAAACTCAATTGTCTCCAGGTACAGAAAAACACACAACTTTACAACACCCCAAAAGTACCCTAAAATAAATGGAACCTCCTCAAGAGTCACATCCCCGGATAGCCCTGATCTGAGTGCCCATCATATCCAAAAAGCACTCAGATCGGTACGGTGGTTTGGATTTTCCATCGAGGTAAACTTCTTTCTTTCGGGAGTACAAAACCGAACAAAATGCCAAACTGATCCTCTGGCTCATAGGTAGCGATTGTTCGCCTAGTTCATGCGAACAATCCTACCGTACGGCGCTCTCCTGACAAAAGTAGAAACGAAGCAGCGGTTCGTTAAAGTTAAACAGTGTTCGCAAGTTCGTGTCCAATTTTAGTTACATGCACCGCTGCCTGCATTCGTGCGACAAGTTGGCCACCAACTTAGTTCCCACGTGTTCATGCATGCGAACGGCGGCCACCCAGCCGAACACTTAGAATGTTGAGGTGTCAGGAGAGGTCAATAGGGGTTAACGAGCCCAGAGGTGGTCTTCAATTTGTGTGTTTGCTCGGTTCTCAAGCTAAAAGGGAAACCACACAAAAAGTATTTTAAAAGTCTGTTACATGGCACATAGTCCGTGGGCAGGAGGCTAGCCATCAGGCTCCTCAAGGAGCTCGTAGCAGCGGCATCTTTGACACAATCATATTTTGGGGTTACCTATAAATATTCCAGTTCTTTATATTGGGATTATCTTCCGGTTACCTGTAAGTCTGGTTGTTCCATATATTGGGGTTACCTGTAAATATTGTTGTTCCATATTGTGGCGAGATTGGTCTCGTCACAGAGTGTCTGAGTGTATTGTATGTGTTTTATTGGTTGTGTTCCAAAACCCTGTGGGTGGCACTAATGTGTAAGAATGTGTACATAAGCACAATAAACCCACAGCTCTGACTGTTCACTGCTTGACCCTCAACCAGAGCCTTGTCTCGTTCTTGGGGGGATTTAATGTATGCTGTTCCAGTCTGACTGCTAGGAGTGTAAACCTATTCGTATGGTTTTTCCTATTCGGCTGTTTACAGCATTCGTATGGTTTCCTGTTTGGCGGATTGGTGTTCTGCAGTAGCTGTGCCTGTGTCTCTGGAAGGGGACGATCGCCTAAATGGTTTTAACCCCTTGTGTGCTGAAACGGTCCGTTATACCCCCCCTCCCCTCTGTGTCTCTGGAAGGGAAGATCTACTAAATGGCGGTTTAACCCTTTTATGCCTGGGGGTGCCGTTACACATATATTGGGGTTACCTGTAAATCTGGTTGTTCCATATATTGGGGTTACCTGTAAGTCTGGAGAATCTATATATTGTGGTTACCTATAAGTCCAGAGGCATTGCTGCCTGATGCTGTGTGCATTGGAGGGTAAATAAATGATGTAATATTAAGTAAATGATCATTATTACATCATTTTGCATAGCCTGCTCCATAACAATGTATTTAACTCCATAACATCCTGCCCAGGGCACATCCTACCTGATAACTCAGGATGCTAGAATTTGTCATCAGCGGATATTTATTAACACCTGATGCATCACATGGCTGAGCTGTGATTCTATACTATAGCACCGTAATTAGTGAAGTTTATTTTATGGTTACGTTTAAGGCCTATCTCTGTCTCCCAGCACACCGTGTATTATAACTGCAGCTATAAGGTTATGGTGTAAGGATGTCCCCTGTCTCTTTGCACACAGTGTATTATAACTGCAGCTATAAGGTTATGGTGTAAGGAGGTCCCCTGTCTCTTTGCACACAGTGTATTATAACTGCAGCTATAAGGTTATGGTGTAAGGAGGTCCCCTGTCTCTTTGCACACAGTGTATTATAACTGCAGCTATAAGGTTATGGTGTAACGAGGTTCCCTGTCTCCCTGCACACAGTGTATTATAATTGTAGCTATAAGGTATGGTGTAAAACCAATAGTCCCCTGTAACGAATCATCTGGCACCCCGACTGGGAACCTCAGTTGAAGGATGCTCCTAGCGCTTCCTGAGGACTCCAAGCACTGCAGCAGACACCAGAACCACCGAACCGGAGAAACATACAAATGCTCTCAAGCATATGAATGCTGTAAGCAGCTGAACAGGAAAAGCATACAATCAGCTTACACTCCTAGCAATCAGCATACAATCCAATTCCCCCAATAACGAGACGACATTTTGTTTTGAGGTCAAGCAGAACTGAACTTTTAATCACATTTGTGACGAGACCAAACTCGCCACATTGCATTGGAGAAGCCTGGTTGATCGCCTGTTGCCTTTGGATTATGGCCCCATGTTAAAAGCCTTCTTTTTCACCTGCAGAAAAGGCTTATTCGTGCCTTTCTGCCCGGTGTTCGGTAGATTCAATCTACCGAACTAACACACGAATGACTGGACCACCTGGAAGCCACCATTTGTATACCGAACACGAGGTTGCGGCCATTTTAAACACGCGAACGCACATCGGTGTTAGACGCCCAACTCATGGAACTGAAAACGGATACATTTTGGCGCGAACACTGCTGAAGCCGCCGATCTCCCTTCTTGTTCGATAGAAGTGCACGAACGGCCCTATATTCGATAGTTTGTACCGGAGTACACCATACCCCAGATAGCCATCCCGTGGCGTCTATTCGTATGGAGAACAGACTTTGTGAACACTTTGACTCCACGGCGATTGGACTGTGTGCGTAGGATCTGAGCGCTATTCGGTACTTTTGTGCGCTCAGATCCCAGCTATCTGGGGGTGGGTTGCAAGTATATATTTTGTGTGATTAATGTAATATTGTGTATTTTATTGTGTTTTAGTATTTTACTGTAACCATGTGGGTAATGGAGTTTTGCCTCTGTCCTTGGAGATAATTGGATTACTTCCCAATTATCTCCAGGATAGAGGGGAGGGATTGTAATGTATTGGGGGAATGTTTTAACCATGTCTGCCTGTGATTGGTCATTGTACTATTTGTGTCCCAGTCTCCCATTTGGTTCCCTAGGGGAGTGTCCACCAGGTGCATAAATACTGGGCAGGTAGCCCTCATTAAACAGACCACTGCTTGACCCTCAACATGGAGCACTGTCTCGTTCTTGGGGGATTTACTGCATGCTGTTAGAGACTGATTGCTAGGAGTGTAAGCCACTTGGATGCTTTTCCTATTCGTCTGCTAGCAGCTATTCGTGAGGTTCCAGTTCGGGAGTTTGGAGTGCTATTTTGTATCCAGTTCGGGAGTTTAGAGCATTCCCTTATATGCGGTTTGGGAGTTTGGTGTTCTGCAGTAGCTGTGCCTGTGTCTCTGGAAGGGGAGGATCTACTAAACGGCGGTTTAACCCTTTTATGCTGAGGGTGCCGTAACAACATTGTTTCCTTATAAAGGTTTCTCCCATGCAAGGGATTTACAATAATTAGGACAATACCAATGGTACAGTAGTTACCTCCCATACATCCCCTCCCCTCAGTGTGACACTTAATCCATTTATTTATGTTACAGTTTTCCCTGTTTTCTGGATGTACCCCCAAACTGTGGGGTACAAGGATCTAAGTGGCATCCCCTGGTAGCCCTGATCTGGGTGACCAGCATACTCAAAATTCACCCAGATCAGACCAGGAGTTTGGGAGTTATGGGGAATAAACTATTTGACCGACTGCACACGATGTGGTAGCCTAAAAGGGTTCCATGTGTTTTGGCCCTGCGGTCGGTCTACGTTTGGGAGGTAAAACATTCACAAATCTTTGCCATCCATTGCTAATAATGCATTCGTATGAATCCCCTTGTTCGGTAGGTAGAACTCACCGAACGAGGGGCTAATTGGCCGCTCCGTTCGGGAGTTATGGAGCTCTGGAGGTCTCAGCGGTGTTCGGGTAATCGACATAACAGTGTGTTGTGTTTGTGTTACTGTCACAGAGCTTGTTTGTCACAGAGCTTGTTGTGTTTGTGTTACTGTCACAGCTTGTTGTTTCTGTCACAGCGTGTTGTTTGTGTTACTGTCACAGCGTGTTGTGTTTATTACTGTCACAGCTTGTTTCTGTCACAGTTTGTTGTGTTTGTATTACTGTCACAGCTTGTTGTGTTTGTGTTCTGTCACAGCGTGTAGTGTTTGTGTTACTTTCACAGCTTGTTGTTTCTGTCACAGCGTGTTGTTTGTGTTACTGTCACAGCGTGTTTGTCACAGCTTGTTGTGTTTGTGTTACTGTCACAGAGCTTGTTGTGTTTGTGTTACTGTCACAGCATGTTGGGTTTGTGTTCTGTCATAGCGTGTTGTGTTTGTGTTATTGTCACAGCGTGTTGTGTTACTGTCACAGCGTGTTGTGTTTGTGTTACTGTCACAGCGTGTTGTGTTTGTGTTCTGTCACAGCGTGTTGTGTTTGTGTTACTGTCACAGCTTGTTGTGTTTGTGTTACTGTCACAGCGTGTTGTTTGTGTTACCGTCACAGCTTGTTTCTGTCACAGCTTGTTGTGTTTGTGTTACTGTCACAGAGCTTGTTGTGTTTGTGTTACTGTCACAGAGCTTGTTGTGTTTGTGTTACTGTCACAGCGTGTTGTTTGTGTTACTGTCACAGCGTGTTGTTTGTGTTACTGTCACAGCGTGTTGTGTTTGTGTTCTGTCACAGCGTGTTGTGTTTGTGTTCTGTCATAGCGTTTTGTGTTACTGTCACAGCGTGTTGTGTTTGTGTTCTGTCACAGCATGTTGTGTTTGTGTTCTGTCATAGCGTGTTGTGTTTGTGTTACTGTCACAGCATGTTGTGTTTGTGTTACTGTCACAGCTTGTTGTGTTTGTGTTACTGTCACAGCGTGTTGTGTCACAGCGTGTTGTGTTTGTGTTACTGTCACAGCGTGTTGTGTTTGTGTTACTGTCACAGCGTGTTGTGTTTGTGTTCTGTCACAGCGTGTTGTTTGTGTTACTGTCACAGCGTGTTGTGTTTGTGTTCTGTCACAGCTTGTTGTGTTTGTGTTCTGTCACAGCTTGTTGTGTTTGTGTTCTGTCACAGCTTGTTGTGTTTGTGTTCTGTCACAGCTTGTTGTGTTTGTGTTACTGTCACAGCTTGTTGTGTTTGTGTTACTGTCACAGCTTGTTGTGTTTGTGTTCTGTCACAGCGTGTTTGTGTTACTGTCACAGCGTGTAGTGTTTGTGTTACTTTCACAGCTTGTTGTTTGTGTTACTGTCACAGCGTGTTGTTTGTGTTACTGTCACAGCTTGTTTGTCACAGCTTGTTGTGTTTGTGTTCTGTCACAGCTTGTTGTGTTTGTGTTACTGTCACAGCTTGTTGTGTTTGTGTTACTGTCACAGCTTGTTGTGTTTGTGTTACTGTCACAGCGTGTTTGTGTTACTGTCACAGCGTGTTCTGTCACAGCGTGTTGTGTTTGTGTTACTGTCACAGCGTGTTGTGTTTGTGTTACTGTCACAGCGTGTTGTGTTTGTGTTACTGTCACAGCGTGTTGTGTTTGTGTTCTGTCACAGCGTGTTGTGTTTGTGTTCTGTCACAGCTTGTTGTTTGTGTTACTGTCACAGCTTGTTGTGTTTGTGTTCTGTCACAGCGTGTTTGTGTTACTGTCACAGCGTGTTGTGTTTGTGTTACTGTCACAGCGTTTTGTGTTTGTGTTACTGTCACAGCGTGTTGTTTGTGTTACTGTCACAGCTTGTTTGTCACAGCTTGTTGTGTTTGTGTTACTGTCACAGAGCTTGTTGTGTTTGTGTTCTGTCACAGCGTGTAGTGTTTGTGTTACTTTCACAGCTTGTTGTTTCTGTCACAGCGTGTTGTTTGTGTTACTGTCACAGCGTGTTTGTCACAGCTTGTTGTGTTTGTGTTACTGTCACAGAGCTTGTTGTGTTTGTGTTACTGTCACAGCATGTTGGGTTTGTGTTCTGTCATAGCGTGTTGTGTTTGTGTTCTGTCACAGCGTGTTGTGTTTGTGTTACTGTCACAGCTTGTTGTGTTTGTGTTCTGTCACAGCGTGTTGTGTTTGTGTTCTGTCATAGCGTTTTGTGTTACTGTCACAGCGTGTTGTGTTTGTGTTCTGTCACAGCATGTTGTGTTTGTGTTCTGTCATAGCGTGTTGTGTTTGTGTTACTGTCACAGCGTGTTGTGTTTGTGTTCTGTCACAGCGTGTTGTGTTTGTGTTCTGTCATAGCGTTTTGTGTTACTGTCACAGCATGTTGTGTTTGTGTTACTGTCACAGCTTGTTGTGTTTGTGTTACTGTCACAGCTTGTTGTGTTTGTGTTCTGTCACAGCGTGTTGTGTTTGTGTTACTGTCACAGCTTGTTGTGTTTGTGTTACTGTCACAGCGTGTTGTGTTTGTGTTACTCACAGCTTGTTGTGTTTGTGTTACTGTCACAGAGCTTGTTGTGTTTGTGTTACTGTCACAGCATGTTGGGTTTGTGTTACTGTCACAGCGTGTTGTGTTTGTGTTACTGTCACAGCGTGTTGTTTGTGTTCTGTCACAGCGTGTTGTGTTTGTGTTCTGTCATAGCGTTTTGTGTTACTGTCACAGCGTGTTGTGTTTGTGTTCTGTCACAGCATGTTGTGTTTGTGTTACTGTCACAGCGTGTTGTGTTTGTGTTACTGTCACAGCTTGTTGTGTTTGTGTTACTGTCACAGCTTGTTGTGTTTGTGTTACTGTCACAGCTTGTTGTGTTTGTGTTCTGTCACAGCGTGTTGTGTATGAGTGACTGTCACAGCTTGTTGTGTTTGTGTTCTGTCACAGCGTGTTGTGTTTGTGTTACTGTCACAGCGTTTTGTGTTTGTGTTACTGTCACAGTGTTTTGTGTTTGTGTTACTGTCACAGCGTGTTGTGTTTGTGTTCTGTCACAGCGTGTTGTGTTTGTGTTACTGTCACAGCTTGTTGTGTTTGTGTTACTGTAACAGCGTTTTGTGTTTGTGTTACTGTAACAGCGTTTTGTGTTTGTGTTACTGTCACAGCGTGTTGTGTTTGTGTTACTGTCACAGCGTGTTGTGTTTGTGTTACTGTCACAGCGTGTTGTGTTTGTGTTACTGTCACAGCGTGTTGTGTTTGTGTTACTGTCACAGCGTGTTGTGTTTGTGTTACTGTCACGGATGCAGTTTTGTTGTGACAGATCAGTTCACAATGTTTGTAATGTGTCTGGAATGACAGCACACAGGGTCACGCCTCTAATTGCCGTGACTCCTTCCTCAGGCTCTGTGTGAATGTGGCCGTGCTGCGTATCACGGAAGGCGCTCCATGTGTGTTGGTGTCTTTTCCAGGCAGGCACGCGTTCGGCTTTAACTCTTTCAGGGACTAAAAATTCCTCCTTTTTTTGCTCTGCAATACGAACCCAGGTCTGGGAATTCACACTGTGAATAATAATCAATTTATCTTCCCCATTGGGCAGTCTGTGTACATCTCTCATCATTCACAGCCAGACAGTTACTGGCTACAGATGGTGCCAGTGGATGCCAGAGGGTAAGCTTGGCCTGTCAAACATTGCATTGAAGCTAAATAAAATAAAATCTCCATCTACTCTATTCCCTATCGTTCCAGCTCGGCTAGCATGACGGTCTGGTTCTCACAGGGTTAACTGAGCTATAAATATCTAGCCTCTGATTGGCTGCGGCTCCGGGCAATGTGTACAGGTTTAAACAGCTGATCTCATTCACAACAATCGGCAAGAGACGCTCCGTGATACTCTGTACTCACCTAGGGTGCGGTGACACTGCATACATAGACTCCCGCCTGGAGGAGAACATACAGAGTGTCCATTCCTGAGACTCCTGGCAGGTAATAACCTATCCTAACTGCATGCACATACTCACAGATACATTGTATATAGACAGATCATTTGTGTACACACATATATTGTATATACAGAGATTCATTGTACACACACACAGATATTGTGCATATAGAGATAAATTATACACACAGGTACATTGTGTACACACACAGCTATATTGAATACACAGATACAATGTATATAGACAGATCATTTGTGTACACACATATATTGTATATACAAACAGATTCATTGTACACACACAGAGATACAATGTATATAGGCAGATCATTTGTGTACACACATATATTGTATATACAGAGATTCATTGTACACACACACACACACACACACACACACAGATATTGTGTGTGTATATATATATATATATAGAGATACATTATACACACAGGTATGTTGTTTACACACACAGTTATATTGTATACACACACATATACATTGTATATAGACAGATCATTTGTGTACACACATATATTGTATATACAGAGATTCATTGTACACACACACAGATATTGTGCATATAGAGATAAATTATACACACAGGTACATTGTATACACACACAGATCATTTGTGTACACACATATATTGTATATACAAACAGATTCATTGTACACACACAGAGATACAATGTATATAGGCAGATCATTTGTGTACACACATATATTGTATATACAGAGATTCATTGTACACACACACACACACACACAGATATTGTGTGTGTGTGTGTATATATATATATAGAGATACATTATACACACAGGTATGTTGTGTACACACACAGTTATATTGTATACACACACATATACATTGTATATAGACAGATCATTTGTGTACACACATATATTGTATATACAAACTGATTCATTGTACACACACAGATATTATGTATATAGGCAGATCACTTGTGTACACACACATATATTGTATATACAGAGATTCAGTGTACACACACACAGATATTGTACATATAGAGATACATTGTACACACACACAGATATTGTACATATAGAGATACATTGTACACACACACAGATATTGTACATATAGAGATACATTATACACACAGGTACGTTGTGTACACACACAGCTATATTGTATACACACACAG